CCATCAATGAGTATGTTAATGTGCTTCCTCTCTGACGGTTCTAAGCGTGGCTGAGTATATTTTTGTACAAGAAAGGAAAAATAAAATAAGTTAACAAACATACACCCCAAGTTATTAAAACATGCCATTTGTGTTTGGGATTTCTTTCTTTCAGCAGCTACAACAGCATCAGTTAACTATTCAAATCTTTCTACAAAGCTGCAGCTACAACAGCATCAGTTAACTATTCAAATCTTTCTACAAAGCTGGGTAGTAATGGCAGACCAGCCAAAGCAAAGAGAGAAGACAGAAAAACAATCAGGAAAGGGCAGAAAAATATGTGCTGGCTGGTCCTTCAGCTAGAGGCAAGGAGCTACTTTACCCTTGGTCTGACATGAAAAGAAAATAAAGTTATTCATCTCAGAATAGCTTCTGGTTGCAGCAGTGACTGTTTAAAAAGAGAAAATTATGTAAAAGAAACCCATTTCTTATACATGGTGATGGAAGGAGAACTGACTCAGGGTGGTGAACACGCAATGTGATATATAGAGGATGTATTACAGAATTGTACACTTGAAACCTGTGTAACTTTACTAACCATTGTCACCCCCAATAAACTTTAAGAAAAAAAACAAACCACCATTTCTTAATACCTTAAATGAAGAGATTTAGAAAGTAAACAGTGTCTCTTACAGATGTTTTTTAGACTAGGTGTTCTGCATTCATGAAGATGACTTACCTTGGCTTATAACTCTTGGTGGCTGTTTCAGAAATCCTTACATTTATGTTGTCATGCATCGCTATGATGTTGTATAACATAGTATTAGAAACTCCATTTGGCACGATCAACTTTGTCACTCACCAGGGTTTTCCTTTAAGGTCAGGAGTTACCAAAAACAGTAAAATAGGCTAGGAGTCTAAAGAGAAAAAGTTCTACCTTTTCCTTTTAAATTTTAAACTATAATTCTTGAAGACATGGGAACACCAAATTCAGCCTCCAAACCAAAAATGCTAAAGGTCTAACAAATCAGATGACCCAAGTTTTTTTCAACACAGTTGAACCTTTCCAAATTAAAGAAAGGGCTTTTCAATTGAAAATTTTCAATAGTTGCTAATACCTATTTTTAAAAAAATCTTTCTTTTGATGAGGAAGTAACGTGAGGTGTTTGAACTTAAAATACATGGTTTTATATACATATATATACATATATATGTATATAAAAGTTTGGATAACAATTTCAGTTATTCAGGGTGGTTGACTATCAAATTTTATTAAGATCTCATCAAGGGAAATCTCAAAACACTTATTATGCTCCACAATTATTGTAAACTGAACAATTTAAATGAGAGGAGGAGATAATGACATTAACTTCTTAACATAAAGCAATCCTTTGTGGCATGATTTTAAAATATTCTCTTGGTCTGAAATGTATGTAAATTGAATTCATCTATCATTGGTTATTACCAGCCTAGCTACATTAAAATAAAAAAACAAAAGTTTTCTGTAACAATTAGTTTTTAAAAACACTGTGTTTTAATTAGGCCTGGGATGTTATTAAACTAGCTATAAATATGTACAGTATTTTTTTTTGGTATACCCAGGTGTCTGAAAAGCAACAAGAACGCCCTAGGAGTTCTTCCTTCAAAAATTCTTCTAATGAAAGCCTTTCATACAAAGTTTTAATGGAATCTGAAGTAGATATACTTTTCAGATTCCATTATGTAAATAAAAAGAAATGGCCACTCATAACCAGAGAATAATCACTGAATCAGTATATTTTAGCATTCATAGGAGTAAGTCAGAGATAACCAATTTCTTCATTTTATGGATGTCCATGGTCATACACACACAAAATTCATGGCAGAGCTTGGACAAAACCTAGATTAGTTATTTCTACCACATCATTTAAGCCTCCCATTTAATCCTCACCACACTGCATAATTTAGGTACTATTATTACCCATTTTATATATAGGGAGGTTATATGGCCAGGACAGCATTCAGTCAAGTAAGAATTCAAACCCAGTCTTACTCTAGAAACTATACTACTTCCCATAATCCGAAATTTTAAGGATAGGTGGATATTTTCCATTTATAAAGAAAATTCTCCCAAAACTCCAACAAGTACCGCCCTTTCAGAATAATAAAATGAAAATAAAACATGAAGGTTTTCATTTGGAATTTCCCCTCTAATATAAGTGCTTTTCCCAAACCCAACTCAAGTACCAACTTCTCCCTGAAGCCCTATATCATTCAACTGAGATTAATCTTTCTTCAAACTCTTGACAACTGCTGTACACTGCTCATATGCAGAAAATGCTAGCTGCCTCTTTAATGCCCATTATCTTTTGTCCTTAGTAGAAATTCAATTTTTAGCTCTTAGCAAATTGCCACATGTCCCAGCCTCTCCAGTGGTTAGGTATGATCACATGACTTGAATTCTGCAATAAGATATCACTGGAAGTACGGTGTTGAAATTCTAGGAATGCTGTTTAAAGAAAGTAGGCCTAGCTTTTAGGGGAGCTCTTTTGTCCTTTACATGTCTTTACCTTGCTATTCAGGTACCATTTTGGCTGGAGCTGCAACAGCTATCTTGGACCATGAGGCAACCTTGAGGAAGGGAGCTGCATGCTGGGAAGGAGCAGGGACAGATCGGTGTCTCGGTCCCTAGGGCGACGTCAAAGCCACCATATCATACTGGGACAGCCTCCCTCCAGATTTTACATAGCAGAGAAATAAGCCTCTATTGAGTATAAGCCACTATTATATATTTTTTTGTGTTAAATAAGCTGAACCTAATTCTAACTGGTTTAGTTCAGACTCATACATATTTCATAATTCAAGGTTTATTGTAACTATAATGGAGAAGGGGGAAAAAAAAGAAATAGAATTATTTCTTTTATAACACTGGAGCAAAACATCTCCAGTCATAATTTTCATTCTCAAAGCCTTTCTGGTAATTTTCAACTTCGGGAAAGAAAAAGGAGGAAAATGAAAGGGAAGTGAAAATGGGAAAAGACACTTGTGCCTGTCTGCCATTTCCTGTCCTCTCTTCTCCACCAGCTAAGTCCTACCACACACCTCAAGGCCCAGCTCACGAAACTGCCTATCTGACCTTGGAATTCAGCATACATATTGCCTCTGCCATTTGACGATCATACCTCCTCTAGTACCATCTTTTGTTTGACTTCTTAACTTTTACACTGCATTTCTTTTTCTATGTGTCATCTCCACAACCTAGTGGGACCCCAAGCCATATGTCTTTGCACCCCCAACAGCTACTAGAAAACTACCTCTGTATGGCAGGACATCAAGAAACACGTTTGATTGATTCATTGAATTAAGGTAAGATGAAAGATAAACAGAGGAAAACTGGAAGGCTAAGGCGTGAGAATGCACAATTTCTTAGAAGTGAAAGAGCATAATTAAAACCCTAAAGAACCCCCAGGATAAGTTTGACTTCACTGGACTTTATCAAAGAATTGGGCCGTGTAGAACAGATTTCCTGATATGTTTGTTGTTCATACAGTCAATGCAAAGCTTACACTATACCTGGTGAGCTTGTTCTCCAAATAAGGGATAGTGTATTTTGCTTCAGTTACTCAGACAATTGCCTCAACCTTATTTTCTCAGTTACCTTAGACATTTGATGGAGTAAGAGATCCAGCTTAGGAAACTCAGTTTTGATAGTGGATGTGCATGATTCCAAACCATACAACAAAAATTGACTTCGAGAAAGATCACATTTAACGTATTATTCTGTCAATTGTGACAAGGTACAGAAAATAATTCTTGGACACATGCAATAATGAATGACTTAACAAAATATTATTGAGTCTAAAATACGTAGCTCAAGAGGTCATTTTCATTAACTAGACTATTACCTCCCTTCTAAAACCCCATAATAATACAGTATCAGGAATAACATTACTACTTCTTTAAAAATAAGACATAGTCTAAACATATACTATTTTGCATTAGCTACATAATGAAAAGGTCTGTAACACTGGAACATTAAAAGTAGTGTAGCAGTATGTAGAATTAACACTATGTAACAATATGCTTAAAAGCTTCAACTACATTTAAATACATGCAATAATAAATGACATCAAAAACATTTTAAACAGAAGCAATTGATATTTTTCCTAGAGTCATGAGCCAGTTTATACCCCACTGATTCTATTCTAAATTATTTGTAAATTACTGTACTACCTATTCATTAATAAGTTATGTACCTAAAAATACAGTATTCTAATTTATTTTCATGAATTTAGCAACGTTTTAGGGAGAGTATAAATGAAAATATTCAATTAACAGAAAATTCAGTTTCTTTCTCAATCTTTCATAATACAAACCAAGGATTCGTTATGTCACCTATTTAAAAAATAATGATTAAACTATGATAACAGTTTTGTCCTTATAATTATATTTGTTCTACTTATGAAAATGGAACTATTTTTAATCTTTTGACATACAATTGATAGTTCACATGTCAAAATATATTGCAGTTTTTTCAAATTACTCATTAGCTATTTCCTCATTTCAATTTTTTTTTCAGATAGATTTCTCAGAAGTAGCCTAGACAGTAGCTTCTTTGACAGTGAAATGTACAAAATAAATGACATGTCAACAAGTAAATTAGCATTTCCTTTCTGACCAGCTGGGTCATGCTTCCTTTTCAAAATCCTCAGTCCCGTGATACAAAATAATAATAATCTAAAGGACCTCATTAAATGATCAATATATTGACATAACCTCTATAAGGAGACACATAGTGTTTTAATTGATTCCACAAATCCATTAAATGAAATATTAAACCCCAGCCTCCAAATTATATTGTAAGAGAGCGTTTTCTTTATTTGTTAACTAATTTTCTCCAGGTTATGGATAATGGCACATAAAATATTCAAGAACTTTTATATTTAACCAAAAAGTAGAAGAAGTCCAATTTCACTAAATCTTTCATATAAACAACATCACAACAAAAGTTATAATAGACAAGTTAAACCATGTTTACTCACCAAAAAACTTCCAAAGGCTGAATTAAATATTGCAGCTGCCTACAGAGAAAATAAATTGGGGGAAAAAAAACTTACTGAAAGTGAATACGAAAAGAAAAAGCAAAGATTATCATTCTCCCATCCCCCACTATTCAAAACCTTAAAACATTGACTCTATAATGCAAAGTTAGGTACTGCTTACAAAAATTGCCAGTGGCCTGGAGTGTACTAAGACAGATGAGCTTCAGCTTAGAAATTCATAAATAATGGGTCTCAAAAGCAAGCAGAAATGTCTTGCCATGAGATGCTCTGAACCTCAATGATAGTACCAAAGAATCACCCCCAATAGTAAATCGAAACCTTGTTGCTATTGATTTTGCTACAAGAGTTAAAACAATCAGAGGTTGATTTATTCATAAAAAAAAATCGTATTATTGGGAAAAGGAAAATCAGAATTGTAAAGCAAACATTAACTACTCTGTGTCAGGGAGCATATATCCTATGAGTTGCACCCACAAAGCGAGACCTGTGGCTCCTGTATACAACACACGTTAGAATTATGAACCATGTTGTTATTGCTATTCCATCCTAAGGCAGAAACAAGCAAGAAAAACTTCTATCTGGTGTTCAAAATTCAAAGAAGAGATATTTGACTTTGTGCTTACCTAAATATCCAGGGAATACACAGTAGCTGTTACGTAGCTTTGAACTTTAAATCAATCACTATATTCCATGAAGCTACATCTCAATCCTAAAAGCTTCTCACATCATTCAAAAAGGATAGAAACTTGTATAACATCCAATTTGATGAAAGGAAAGGAAGGGGGAAAAAAAAGGAAAAAATAATAAAAGGCAAAAGGAGGGGTCGAGAAAACCTATTGACATCTCCTGTAGATCCAGAGCAGAATTAAATTAATCACCATGGACATTAGCAGCCACATCGCAGTAAGAAGACGATGTCAGTTTTGCAAGTTTGAATAAAGTCCAAAGCCAAGCTCAGAGCTGGAGCTGAAAACGCTTTCTGCTCCAGAAGAGGATGCAACGAGAGTGCATAGGTAATGAGATCCTTGGCTCCAGAGAGCTTAGCTCTCCTAGTCAAGTTCATAATTAATTCAAAGCTTTGATAATTTCATTAGATTTCTCCTTTGCTGGCCGCATCAATAAAAGATGGCACCGGACCACAGCTCCTCTGTGGCATTAACACAGGCACAGGCACAGGCACAGACCAGGGAAACCTTTGCTTCCTGTCGGGGACAATGCATATGGTGCTCCATGTTGTACAGCAGCAGTGACAAAAAAAGATTCGGCTACATAAAACATCACAGACGACAACTGTAAGCTATAGCAATACAGTTAACATATTTTCCTGGAATTCCATTATGGATGATTGAGGGAAAAGTTTTATATGTTGAAAAAAAGAAGTAAAATGGTATAAAGAAATGAGCTGTGGTGAGATCAACAGGGAACGCTGCCCTCCTTTCTATAGAAAAGCACCTTCCCCACAAACAACGTTTATTTCCAGATCCTATTTTGTGCTTAATATAGATCAATCTCTCTTTTTGTAAAGAAATGAGCTCCTCGCTTCCAAATTTGTTTCTCTCCAGTACCTTTCACCAACCTTCTACTAGAAAACTAACCATTTGGCCTAGCATTAGGGAAAAAGAAGAAAGAAAAGAAACATGGATCATTGGAAGTAAAAAGGCTCAGAAGTCAAAGTAAAATAAATATCGACTACTACTCATCAGATCCCATCACACTACTCGCACTCCATCCAGTTCTCTTTTTTAACCCAAACACAAGCAGTATATTTCATGTGGATTGGCTGTGTTCCTGCACTTTTATAAAATGACAATCCTCCTGCGCAGTGAGCTCGGGCCATCACTGGGGAAATGGCTGGAGAGCCATGTACAACCAGACACTGCACCAAGCATCTAGGCTTCAATATCAATAGATAATTAAGCTAATAGTTAGCTCAATCCTGCATTTGTAGGATATGATGGAATTATGTTTTTCAGAGTTTCAAAGAGTGATGATAAATATTTAAAGAGCATTTAGTTGATACAGAAGAGACACGTATGTCGTCTGACTTAATGAGGCGTTCCCAGCTCCTGAGCATGATGTACGAGGCCCTCCATGAACAGGTCACCGTCTGGAGAGAGATCTCATTTCCTGCCTCAGATTTTATATTCTGACAACACTAAACAACTTTTAGGTCCCCAAACTCATCATGCTGTTTCTTCCCTCTTTGTTCCTTGGCCTGGAATGCCCTTTTCCCTTCCTCCACCATTGATCTTAGTGACTCAGCCTGGGCATCGTCCTTCCAAGAAGCTTTCAATCACCTCCTCCAACACACACACACACACACACACACACACACACACACACACACACACACACACACTCTCACATTTCTAGGTGGACTCAGTGTCCCCAGGCCTGCTGCCTTTGCATCCTGAGCATACATCTCTGCCACGGCACTTGCCACGCTATTGAAATGATCTGTCTACGTGCCTCCCTGTCCCACTAAAGTCTTCTAAGGAAGAAATCTGATGAAGTTCATCCTATATGTTTGTTATGAATTGCTGAAATAAGTATAATTGCCAGGAATGTCAAAAATCTACCTCTTCTACAAAATTACTCTGTGTGTTTGGCAGAATCCAAGGGCTGGCAGACACACACTGGATCTGACACCCGGCATCACAACCAGGCAATAGCAATGACAGATTTAGACGTTAACTCCCACCCAACATAAGCACGTCTTTCACAATATCTTGTTTCACTCCCCTTAACCTCCGTGTTATATTACAGTTATATAAATATGCTTAACATAAATCATGTTTTAAAATTTACCACTGCTCTATAGCAGTAGAGTTCATTAAATAAAATCTAGAATTACCAAGGAATGTGCTGCAGCCATTAAAAAGAGATCATTAAAAAGAAGTTAGTGTTGTTTCATTCTAAGGCACAAACACACAAGAAAATCAGCATGATCTGATTATACTGATATGAAGGCAGGCTGATATTTTAAGTGAAAAAGCAAGTTTCAAAACAGTGTGTATAATTTCTTCAGTGTTTTTTTTCCACACTACCACGCAATTCTCAGACACCAGCTGGGTGTCCTACAATTCAACTCAGTTCTGCCCCTATTTCCCTGAAACTAGTGTCAAATCCACAGGTTAAGGGCTCAGTCCCACACGACTGTCCCCATTTCAGATGTCAATCAGAAGTTCAAAGTTGTCACCTGTGCTGCTGACCAACTGGCTATAAATCGAAGGCTCTTACAACCCAATCCTTGAGTTTGGTTCCTTTGTTAGAGTGAGTGACTCACAGAACTCAAGAAACCAGCTTATGCAGTAGATTACTGCTTTATTATAAAAAGATATAACTCAGGACACCGAAATGGAAGAAATGCATAGGACAAGGTATGGGGGAAGGGCAGAGAGCTTTCGTGCCCTCTGCAAGTGAGCCACTCTCTCAGCGCCTCCATAACCTGGAAGCTTTCTGAACCCTTCCTTTTGGGGTTTCACGGCCACTTCATTATATAGGCATGAGTGGCTGAATCGCTGGCTGTGGGTGACTAAACCCCGTCTCCAACCCCTCTCCTCACCAGAGGCCAGGAATAGAAGGAAAAGTTCCAACCCTGTAATGCTTGGCTGGTTCCCCCGGAAACCAGCCCCACCCTTATGTTAGCTAGGGGCTTTCCAAAAGTCATCTAATAACAAAACAAAAGACACCTTTGATGGCTCTCATCACTTAGGAAATTCCAAGGGTTTCAGGAGCTCTGTGCCAGGAGGGATGAAATCCAAATATATACTTCTTACTATAAATATAATATCACATTCCTATTGTGTAAATCGATACATCTACACACACATATACACAGATAAGTATAAAAACTCTACTTTTTCCAAAAAGGGTCACAAAGAAAACTGCTAACAATGGTTACATTTGTTCAAAGGGTTACATGGGAGTCGTTTTTATTTTATTTTGTTCTGTCTGTCCTGTTGGGCTTTTGTTTTTAACATGCTACTTTTCTATATTTCATAAGGGTTACCTGGCCAGGGAGATGTTCAGCCATTTATTGTTTGTATGTTCAATCCCTGTGTGTTAAAACTGCAATAAATATTTTATTTAAAAAATAAAATTAAGATTTCCATCCCTATTTTGCACGCTAGTGAAGGCTCTTGCTGGCTGGCTGACAAGCTGGAGGGTGGCTACCCGCTGGCGCACAGCGCTGTGCTGGGAGTCAGAAGCCACAGGATGAACCCAGGGCCGCTTTCAGGAGGCTCTGTAGCCTGTGAATATTTGGTTTTGAAAAATAAACCCCAAATCCACTATTATTTCTGTATTAAAACAAACATGGCTCTACCATGAGAGCACAACCATCACGTACTGAGATCACACAGGAGGCACCGATGACAATTTGTTCTGATGGTACAGCCTTCAGCTTATCCCAGCAGACTCCCTTAGGATACGAATTTCCTCTCCTCTGCCTCCTAGAAGCCATACCTGAGACAGTCCACTGGTGTTATAGCATTTCACTTGTTATCTAATCTGTAAGAAACAATTTAATTACTCATTCCCCACCTAGACTGCTCCATTCTACAAAAATGCTCCATTACAGCAAGAATTTTGTCTAATTTGTATGAGATTGCATCCTCACTGCCTAGTACAGCACCTGGCTGGTAGCAGATCCTCAGTAAACATAACTGAATCAAAGCATGAATGAATGAATCAATGAATCAATCAATCAATCAATCAATCAATGAATACTGCTTGTGCTAACTGAATGTCCTGCACAGTAATGGTTCCATTATTAACTCAGGAATCCCATCTACAAAGTGTATATAGTGGTATAATCGCATTTGATGGATAATTAGATCACCACTAACTGAAAAAAAGTTCATATTGAGGTGGTTTTTCTTAATGCTGAATAGATTGGCTTCCTCTATGCTACATATTTTTAGATAATATATTGCTTTTAGGATCAGCCCAATTTTACCCAATATATGGTATTTTACTAATGTTTCATTATATATTGTACAGCTTGTCTTTATTAC